TATACTGCTTTAATTAATATATACAGTATGCCGAAAAATACGCTGAAGTTGTCTCGGTATTTGACGCCATTTAAAATAATATAGTATTAGAAAATCAAGTAACGAGTTTGTAGATAGAAGCTAAAATGCCACGGTGTACAGTATGTGAGTTCATTCGATGTTTCTAGACTTCGTATTGTAAAGTCTACAGAGTCTTCAAGATACATGTTTCAACAATTTAAAAATGAATCTATCTACTTATCTCTATGCGTGTGTGTGTTTTCTTTTGTTTCGTCAACTGTGTATGTATCACCTAATGTTACTAGTCTGTTGCTACGTGTCGTGAGACATCGAACGCAACGCAAGCAAATCCAGGTTGGTTCTTGCCTTATTTTCTTCTTCATGAAACATGAAACAATCTTTATCTATATAATGAGCTGATCGCATTATCAACATGGTCTGTGTGAAAAAATCCTATATTTGCCCGCAAAAACGCTCAACTTAGCTGATTTATATTTGCTGTCTCCCCAACTTTAGCTAAATTGGTTTGTTATTTTGTTCTTTGTAATATACTTATCCACAAGTGCAGGAATAATTTTGACATACAAATTTCATCAGTAAACTGTAAACATATAACATTTTAGGTTGCGAGTTTTAAGTGTATATTTGTATGAAATTCACAAAGAAAAGGAGCCTTACACCAAAAGAAAAAGAAAATAAAAGAAAAGAGGAACCGTTTAGTTTGGCCGTAGGAGTCTTGAAAGGGCAGAAAATAAAAGAAAAGAGGAAAGGACGTCGCATTTTTCTCTGTCGCTGAAGTAAGTGTCTTTGGACGTTTGATTGTTTTTTGTTTTTAGAAATTCAGAAAACTTATTGCAGCTAGAATATTTAATTATTAATCATAAAAATGACCAGATCAAATTTTATTTTACGATGAGATATAATATTTTATAATTTTTAAATAGAAACACTAAAGCTCCACTGATGTAGAGGTGGATCTTGTGATATTTTTGTAAAAAGATCTTGTGATATTTTATATGAATAATTGAGAATGTTGATAATTTTTTTTTTTTTTTAATGTCAGTCACGATTCAAGATACTTTTCCGAAACTTATGATTATATTTGTATAAATATAATATTATACACATATATTTAATTACATTGTAAGTTTTAAAGGTTTTGAACATAAAAACATAAAATGGTAAAACTTGTTTTTTTTTAATTTTGTGGTTGTTGTTGTTTTGTAATGTTAATCTCAAGATATTTTAAACCAGTAAAAATCAATGTTGCAAAATGCGTCTCTATTTCATTTACCGTAATTTCGCACAGAGGACATTGTTCCCATTGATTTATTAGTTAAAACTTCAAGATATTTATTGTATATTTATCTTTTTGAAATTTGTTTCCGTAAACTTATAATAATTCAATGGAACAATGTCCTTTCTGCAGGAATGATTGTCTTTTCGAAAAAGACAATTGTTATCTTTCCCCTCAATAAGGGTTACAATCAGTATTAATAATAAAAGTAAAACATATAAAAAAACGATATACATTATTAGCAGATTTTAAAGGGATAAACAAAAGTTACGCAGAGAGAAAAAAAAAAGGCAGAAGAGTAGCGTCTAGCCACTGAAATTTATACTACACCAAACCAAAGGATAGAAGACGAAGAAGACAACACATACAATGTTTTTAATTTTGGTATATATAAGTGCATATCTATAGCTTTGGGGATAAACGTGCCTGAGGAGCATCCCAATCGGTGATGATGTGGTTACGCGTGATCTCCTTCAAAGAAGTGCATCCACTTAATGCCATTGTGAGTTCAAACTCTTCTCTCATCATCTGAAGCACTTTCCTCACGCCGGCCTCTCCTTCCGCCGCTAACGAGAACACCACCGGCCGTCCGATCTGTTTCCCAATAAATGATTAAGAAAACGATGAGAATGAATAACATTTTTTTGTTTTTTTTGTCTCGCAAGAAACTACAAATAGTTTTCTTGTTTCCCAAGAAACTGGCACTTACGAATATGCCTGAGGCTCCAAGCGCGAGGGCTTTGAAGACATCGGTTCCACGGCGAACGCCACCGTCTAAGAAGACCGGAATCCTTCCCTGAGCTGCTTTAACAACCTAAGATCCAGAATAACAGAATCATCAAGAGTTAAATTATACAACAAGAAACTTCATAAAGTTGGAAAATAAGTTAGCTTTTTTTTTGTTACTAATAAACCTCTTCAAGTGCTATGATTGTGGCTGGGACGTAGTCGAGCTGACGAGCACCATGGTTAGACACGATGATACCGGCTGCTCCTGCTTGTACCGCCATCCTAGCTGCAGACAAAAAAAAATAACATACATTTTTTGGGGGATTTTTTTTTTACAAAGTAATAAGTCAAACTAATGAAGAAGATGCAGAGAGTTTTGTGTTGTTTATTTTAGGTTTTCCTCACCATCCTCAGCTGTGAGTACTCCCTTCACCAGAATAGGCAACTTTGTGATTGTCTGAAGCCATTTCACGTCCTGTAATGTATCCCAAACAAACAAGATCAATCACAATTGTAAGACTTTTTCATCTGTAACAGTTCCCAATTCATTGATTTGTATTAGCTTTACCTTCCAGCTCAAGGTACGATCAATTTGTCCAGCCACGTAGGATGCTAGTCCCGAGTCATTTGCCTATATAATCCACAGAGAATGTTTAGGAAAGTTCCAAATCATAAAGAAGTTACAGTATATGATCAAAAGCAGTTACCATATCCATCTTGCCGAGGTCAAGACCTTCAAAATTCTTCAAAGTCAAGTAAGGTGGCAAGGTAAACCTGTTCTTGATATCAGACTCTCTGCGACCAAGCCTCGGTGTATCCACAGTGAGGGCGATTGCTTTGAATCCGGCTCTCTCTGCTCTTCTCACAAGCTGAGCAACCACGTTCCTGTCCTTGTAGACCTATCATATATAAACGTACAAGAAAACGGATGTTGAAGCTTCTTGATTCATGAGCGAGTAAACATTGCGCAAGATGGAGCTTACATATAGCTGGAAAAATCTGATTCCGGGTCCTGTTGAAGCAACCTCTTCAACGCTAGAAGTGGCCCATGAAGAGAGTGTCTGCAAACAAGAGCCTTTGTGATGTTGCAACGTTTAAATTGTTACTAAGCGTTGAATAATGTATTCGGAGACAAACCATAATTGTTCCTGCAGCGGATGAAGCTCTAGCTGTAGCATACTCACCTGAGCATTACAATTAAGTCATAGATCAGATCAGAAACCATGATGCTCTGTTTCCTTACTCTGTTCTGTTTTTTTTTTTGTTTTTTTTCTTACCTTCAGGATGCGCCATCTTCTGCATTGCAATTGGAGCAACCATGATGGGCATAGATATCTTGAATCCCAGTACCGTTGTAGTTATATCGATGTTGCTCACGTCGATCAGAATCCGAGGCCGAAACCTTAATTACAAGAGACAAAGAGACATGGTGATCAAAGAAACTTTCTTGATGAAACAGGGAAATTGACAAAAGGGTTTAAGTTTTTTAGGAAGCTCACAAGATTCTGGAGAAGGCGTTCCGGTTCTCCTGAAGAGTCCACTGATCTTCTGCGCCAGAAGCGTAGTAATCGTAGACCATCTTCGGTAATTTCTCCTTAGCGATGGCTTCATACTCGTTAACGTTGGTGATCTCCATCTCCTCTTTTAGCCTATCTCTTTCTTATAGATATCTGCTGAGATCAGAGAGAACAGAGCGAAGAAAAATATCAATATATACATCTGAGCAGTTCTGCAGACATAGATACATGTGTAAAGGACAAGAATCTCAGAGAGAAATCTCACCAAGTTGAGGAGACGAAGAGACTTGGGACTAACAAGGAAACAGAAACTATTTCATATAATGGGACTTTTTCTGCATGAGGACAAAATTTTATTGGTGTGTATATATATACTTATGTTTGTTAAGAGGATGAGAAATTGGAGGTGGTGATTTAGAGATGAAATAGAACCAATCGAATTAGGAGGGTTCTTATCCAAACCGAACATTCCTTTTTTTGTAAATTTACTCACACTAATCATATAAACTTTTTATGCGCAAGAAAACAACTATTGGGTTGTCATCTGTCGAGCACTATATATTATTGATGATGATATAAGAAAAATAAGGAGATAAAATACTATTGGGCTGTTACGCTTACTTTCGTTCGATGTTCCAAGTAAAAATAGCATTCGTTTTATATGTGACAAGATAGCCCAAAGCCCATACGAGTCTATTCAAAAATCAAGGGGTGATTTAAATAAAATAAAAAATGTAAACTGATATCATCCAATTATTCAGAGCATAGTTTTTATTTATTTTAATAATTACTTCCACTTTCTATTGAGGAGGATTTGAAGTGACCATGAAAAGTGAAAACTATGGGTTAATTTTTATTTTATTATACAAAGAGATAAGTGAATAAGTACAAGACTACAGGTTGCCACGTAAGTAGAATGACGTAAGCAGTGGCCTAAGCATTCAATGATATGTACAATCTACAGTTCTACACTGTCACCGAAGCATCTCGATCCAATTGCCTCAATCAACAACGTACGTTGCTCTACTAATTTCTTGAATGTTAAGCTCACGCTTTTCTAAATCCCAAGTTTTTCATAATCCATAAGAATATGTATCGTAATATTTCATAATCCGTAAGAATAAATCTACAGTTTTACTCAGTATTACCCACTTATAAAATAGGTCTCTGAAAAATATGTTAGAGAAACATGATATTATCGGTTAAAATTTTGAAAACAATTAAAGTTTTTATTTTTTTATTTTTTTTAAACTTACTGGCAGATAAAAGCAGATTCAAAGGTGTCCACATGTTTTAAAGATGATGTGACGTACCGACTCGAGAAAGCAAAATCCATTTTGGTATCCTTTATATTATTATCCCCTTTATAAAATGACCCAAACCCTCACACTCTCCTCTTCTCTCTCACACAAGTGATTAGGGAACCAGATCTATCGAGAAAGACATTACAAGCAACAATGGCGAACGAGGTGATCCTTCTTGATTTCTGGCCTAGCATGTTCGGCATGAGGACTAGGATCGCGTTGAGGGAGAAAGGTGTCGAGTTCGAGTACAGGGAAGAGGATCTGGCGAACAAGAGCCCTTTGCTTCTCCAGATGAACCCCGTTCACCAGAAGATTCCGGTTCTCATCCACAACGGTAAACCGGTCTGCGAGTCTAGCATTCAGGTGGAGTACATCGACGAGGTCTGGTCTCACAAGAACCCTATCCTCCCTTCCGATCCTTACAAGAGAGCTCAGGCTAGATTCTGGGTTGATTTCATCGACAAGAAGGTATAATCAAAATCCCACCTTTCTGTTGTTTCGTTTGAAAAGTTGGGGTTTTTAGATGGGTTTTGTTGATTTCTGCGATTTAGGGATTTCATAAATACTGGAAATTGATTAAGGGTTCGTCTTAGATAGTTAGATGTTAGATAAGGTTTAGAGAAATCTCATCGCTACCAAATTTTGATGGTTTCATTTTGTCTGAGATCTGACATAGCTCGATGTAATGTTGCTTTGGTCAGATGTACGAGGCTCAGGGGAAGGTGTGGGCGACGACGGGGGAGGAACAAGTTGCAGGGAAGAAGGCGTTCATCGAGCTGCTCAAGACACTTGAGTCTGAGCTTGGGGACAAACCTTTCTTTGGTGGCGATGACTTTGGCTACGTAGACATTGGGTTGATTGGGTTCTACACATGGTTTCACGCATACGACAAGTATGGTAACTTCAGCATCGAAGCAGAGTGTCCTAAACTGATCGCTTGGGCCAAGAGGTGTCTGCAGAGGGAGAGCGTGGCTAAGTCCCTGCCTGACTCTGAGAAGGTCACTGATTTCATCGCCGAGCTCAGGAAGAAGTTTGTACCCGAGTAGAGAGAGAGAGACGTTGTGCGGTTCCTGTGCTCAGATGTTGTGTTCCAGTTTTATGTCGAGTGTCTGTTTGAATAATGCAATATCTTCTTGAATAATGCCAGAGTATCTGTTTGTGAGGTGGTTTTGAGGTAGAGAATGTATGTCTGTTTGAGTGTTTTCTGCGTTCGAGGATTTGCCCTAGTTTGTATGCGTTGTTAAGTCTTGAATAAATGATCTTTTTAAGTAACTTGTGATTTCATAATTAATATTTAACTATTAAGGGTTTCATTAAGCAGAATCATGAGCATCAAGCTCACGTGGTGAGCCTGTCACACTTGTACGGCTAAATCGTGCGTAACCGTTTTGATTTTTTGCGCATGTGTTAGGGACAGTTGTAGTCTCTCTATAGGTACCTCGCTGAGTAATAAATGAATGCTATTGTAATCACAAAATCTGAGCTGAATTGAAAAATAAAGTTCATCTTCCCTTAGAAGCTTCCAGGGTATCTGAGCCATGGTGGGCAGACTGTGGGCTTAGCTTCCAACGTTGAATATGAACGGGCTTAGTTAGAAAGCCCAAATTAACACTCAATATGAAAGTTTTTGGGCTCGGTATTGCAGAATCGATGTGATTTTAATGTCACCGGCCCCTTAAAAGTTTGTGGAATGAATTATCTAGCGTCTTGTATGCAATGTATGCACAATTGCACACTTGACACTACTAGTTCTGAGCACGAGTACAATGTTACATGTTCCAGTGAAAGTTCAAGTTATTTGTATAGAGCATATACATTTTATACGCACACATACACATTTCTGTATATTTCTACATGTGATGTTTATTAGGCATGTACATTAATCAACACATTCATCTTAGTTATTTTCACGTTAAAACCTTTTTTTTTTGTTGGGTGATTTGGTAATATGATATGATCTGCCAAGATTTCTCTGTCGTCTTACTTGTGAATATGTGAGCATTGGCTTTCGAAACTCATTTATATTTTTAAATTTCAGCATTGTCATTTCCAATATCCGTATATTATCCAAACTAAATATATTATGTTTAGTAATCAAATGACTCTGCTGTAAATCTAAAGGCCAAATGCATTAGCTAGTGTAAATCCCTTATATGTTGTCACTAATCATATTATTTGTAAGTTGGGTAAAATCACGTGTTAAATGTACACCCACCTAACTGGGATACAAACAATACAAACGAGGAAGTAGAGTAGGTGGTCGCGACACAAGTAGAGAGACATAGCAAATCAGTGACTTAAGATCTCTTTAAACTCCATTTTAATTTGAAGTAACCGGTGACATTGCCAAGTTTTCGTGGAGCTCCAATGAAATTAGAAATGTGCATCCTGAATTTGCAAAAAGGTTAACCAGCGAAATTTAAACGGACTTTAAATTGTAGCAGTTTAATAGGAAATCCCCTTGATCTGAGCATGCAACTGTTGATAATTCCATATATATAATTAGTTCAAGAAGATGTGTTAATATTCCACGGGAACAAATATCATCCGCGGGAAGTTATCTTGTAGAAAAAGAATGACATAAAAAAAAAAAAGTTCTTACTTTTGGAAAAAAAGCTTTATATTTGGACCATAAAATTAATGCTTTAAAGAAAAGTTGATGTGACGTAACGGAGAACAAAGTCCTTTACGAATCATTTATCTTCCCCTATATAAATGATCGTTACTTTGCACCATTCTTCACTACACACACACTCACTCACTTGTTCACTTAGAACAGCAATCAAGAATATTTTTTCATAACTTGTGAGCTTCATCGATCGAAATCAATGGCGAACCAGACGATTCTTCTTGATTACTGGCCGAGCATGTTCGGGATGAGGGCAAGAGTCGCGTTGAGGGAGAAAGGTGTGGACTTCGAGTACAGAGAAGAGGATCTCACGAACAAGAGCCCTTTGCTCCTCCAGAGTAATCCGATTCACAAGAAGATCCCGGTTTTGATCCACAACGGAAAACCGGTCTGCGAATCTCTCAACGTTATCCAGTACGTCGATGAGGCTTGGTCCGACAAGACCCCTTTCTTCCCTGCCGATCCTTACGGGAGAGCTCACGCTAGGTTCTGGGCCGATTACGTGGACAAGAAGGTAACTAAATCCCTTTTGTGCACTAGATTTCGTAATTAGGGTTAAATTTGAGCGCTGCATGTCGATTTGGGGTTTGATCTGAGTTCATTTTTCACTTGATAGGCTTTAGGGCTTTATTTGTAGACTCATCTTGCAAGCTTGTTTGATTTCTTCTAAATATTTGAGCGTTTAGTTTGACGACATAACTCAATGATTTGTCACAATGTGCAATGGATATTCAGTTCAGCGACGCCCAGTTCAAGATCTGGGGGAAGAAAGGTGAGGAACAAGAAGCAGGGAAAAAAGAGTTTATCGAGGCGATCAAGAATCTTGAATCTGAGCTTGGAGACAAACCTTACTTTGGTGGAGATAGCTTTGGCTATGTAGACATCTCCTTGATTACGTTCTACAGTTGGTTCGGAGCATACGAGAAGTTCGGTAACTTCAGCATCGAGGCCGAGACTCCAAAGCTGATCGCTTGGTGCAAGAGGTGCATGGAGAAAGAGAGTGTGTCTAAATCTCTCCCTGACTCTGAGAAGATTGTTGCTTACGCCGCTGAGTTTAGGAAGAACAATCTCTGATCTGAATGAAAGAAAATGTTCTTCTCTTGTCGTTCTGTTTCTGCGAAGCTGTGTTCTGTTTTTTAACTTTGGTTCTCTGTTTCCTGTTTTCCTAATAATGCCAGAGCGCATCAGTGTTTGTGTGGATCTTAACCTTTAAGTATGTTCTAAAATAAAATTATTTGTTTCGATTATAGCGTCCAAATATGAAGTCGTATTCACAAAGTAGTTTAGTACAATAAAATCGTTTGGATGGGGAGAGAGGAACATCATCCCCTTTCAGAAAAAAAATAAAATAATAATATTGGACTTATTTGTCACAATGTATATACTCATTATAAATATTGTATAAAATAGGTGGCCACGTTACAATCATGCAAGTTGCCCAACAAAAAATGAAAATTTCTTTTTTTTTTCTTCTCAACCACTCTAAATTCCACTATATGTTGATTCTACCATTAAAGTTCCAAACGGTGACGACGCATGGAACTGATCCAAAAACCCTTAAAGTTTGTGCTCAGTTCCCTTTAAGGCTTTGAGTGGAGACTCCACTAGGGATTCTTTTCTTTAATAAACATTACTAGGAGTAATAGAAAAGAAAAAAAAGTTAGTGAACAGCTTAACTCCTACCTACTTCACTACACATTCTGACAAAGAGACAAACAGAGAAAGAAGAAAATAATAACAATTGTGAGCTTCAGGGATCGCAGCAATGGCGGACGAGGTGATCCTTCTGAATTCCTGGCCTAGCATGTTCGGAATGAGGACGATGATCGCCTTGAAGGAGAAAGGAGTGAAGTATGAGTACAGAGAAGAGAATCTGAAACCCAACAAAAGTCCTTTGCTTCTAGAGATGAATCCGATGCACAAGAAGATCCCTGTTCTTATCCACAACGGTAAACCGATCTGCGAATCTATCATACAGGTCCAGTACATCGACGAGGTCTGGTCCGAGAAGAACCAACTCCTTCCTTCTGATCCTTACCAGAGATCTCAAGCCTTATTCTGGTCCGATTTCATCGAAAAGAAGGTACCAAACAAGTGTCTTTTTCATTTCACTTCCCTTCAATTTTAAGGTCCTTATATAAACTCAATTTAGAAAAGATTTCAGAGATCCAATTTATAGGTTTTTGCTTGTAACTCATATGTGACTATGTTACTTGTGTGACACGGATCAGTTGTTTGTTTGTGGGAGGAAGACTTGGGCAACAAAAGGTGAGGAGTTGGAAGAAGCTAAAAAAGAGTTTATTGAGATACTAAAGACTCTTCAATCTGAGCTCGGAGATAAACCTTACTTTGGCGGCGATAGATTCGGGTTTGTAGACATTGTCTTGATTGGATTCTACAGCTGGTTTCCAGCATACCAGAGATTTGGTAACTTCAGCATCGAACCAGAGTGTTCCAAACTAATGGATTGGGCCAAGAGGTGTATGGAGAGAGAGAGTGTGGCTATGTCCTTGCCTGATCCTGACAAAGTTGTTGGATACGTTTTACAGCTTAAAAAGTTATATGGTATTGACTAAGCTATGATGATCTCTTTAATTGCTTCTGTTCAACGATTGAATATCTGCAAAATGTAGTCTTGTTCTAAACTTTGGTTTCTTTGTTTTTGTTTAAATTCGGTGATGTTTGCTCCTAAATCTTAAATCGCAGCAATGCTTTCTCTAGCTTCAACGCTTTCAAGTTGACTTCAAGAAACTTTGTGATCTTGAAGAATAGTCATAAGTAAAATGACGTAAGCAGTGGCCTAAGCATTTTCCAAAAACCTAATTTTTAAAATTTGCAGTCATAGTTGACAAATTAACAACATTATCTCTACAACAGCTCCAACTTTAATTTAGAGAAAAAAAAACAAAAATTTACTTGAAGACAAATTGAAGAAGAAACAATATAAAAATTACTTGACAAAAGCAGAACTTACTCTGAAGTTTGAATCAGAGCTTCTTTTTTTGTTAAAACATCTTTGATTAACAAGACTCGGCAACAATGGCGGAAGAGGTGATCCTTCTAGATTTCTGGCCGAGCCCGTTCGGTGTGAGAGCGAGGATCGCGCTGAGGGAGAAAGGAGTCGAGTTTGAGTACAGAGAAGAGAATCTGAGGGACAAGAGTCCCTTGCTTCTCCAGATGAATCCGGTTCACAAGAAGATTCCGGTTCTCATTCATAACGGTAAACCGGTTTGCGAATCCATGAACGTAGTCCAGTACATCGACGAGGTCTGGTCCGACCGAAACCCCATCCTTCCTTCCGATCCATACCAGAGAGCTCAAGCAAGATTCTGGGTCGATTTCATCGATACTAAGGTACCAAATCCTTAATGAAATATCCCTTTTCTGTTATTTGTGCCCTATTCTAAACCAAACGTTACTCTTAACTTCAGAGTTATTTTTAAAGTATGAGATTTAATCAATTTCTAGTTTACCTCTCAAATCTTAGGGCTTTTTTTTTTGTTTCTTGTGGACTCATAATGTTATGTGAATATGTGAAATTGGAGCAGTTGTACGAGCCAGCGGATAAGATCTGGTCTACAAAGGGCGAGGAACAAGAGACAGCCAAGAAAAAGTATATTGAAGTACTGAAGGTTCTTGAATCTGAGCTTGGAGACAAACCTTACTTTGGTGGAGATAACTTCGGTTATGTAGACATTGCCATGACTGGTTATTACAGCTGGTTCGAAGCATCTGAGAAATGCGGTAACTTCAGCATCGAACCAGAGTGTCCCACACTAATGGCTTCGGCCAGGAGGTGTTTGCAGAGAGAAAGCGTGGTTAACTCTCTCGGTGACTCCGAGGAGATCGTTGCGTTCGCCTTTAAGATTAGGAAGATATATTGTGTATGAATCTTCCTTCTTTTTCACCTGAATTGATTCCACGTCTCACGTTTTATGTCTTTTTCAGTTTTCACCAAATAATATTTGTTTCTTGTCATGCAAGAAATAATGGTTCCTATATTTAAAAGACGTCTATTTATTCTTCTCTTTTGTAAAAAAGAAATAATTGAAATGGAAAATACGATCCGAAAACACCTTCGTATACTTTACATTGAGGGCTCGACGAACACAACTCATCATGACCCAATTTAAAAGTAGGACATGGGCTGTTAATTTTTCGGTAATCAATATGAAATCCCAAACTGTGAATCTTGTCGACTGTTACCAAAAGAAAAAGTAAAAACTGTGATAGATTTACTTTTGTCATTTCTCTATCGTAGTATCATTTGAAGGTGAAACCAATTTTCGTGGGACAAAACCAAAAAACCAAATATTACCAAAAGAAAAGAGAGAGGAAGTTGAAGCCACGCTTCGAGAGAGTACGTTTACATGGGGACTTGTACTATGATGCTTTAAAAATACTAATGAGTCCCACCACATTATGTGTCGCCTTTATCCAATTACATTTTTTTTTTTTTTGGTTCTACAGTATCCTGGTAGAAAATAATGCACAAAAGCATATTTTTCAACATCGAAACAAAAATAATGTTAGTAAACTTCTTCATATATAAATGGGAGCACAAAAGAATATTTTCAATTTCAGTAGCAGGAAAAACTGATTAAACACTACCAGGAAAAGAAAAAAGTAAATTGGATTGTAGAAAAAAAAATAGTATGAATAGATCAAAGATTCGACTTTTATATATCGGTTATAAATTCCTTAACGTTTACCCCGAAATTATTCCCCCAAAAAATGTCTTAATCGTTTTACTTTTCAGATAAATACCATAAACACATGCGACTTTTTATAATACGTATACTTTTTTTGCCGTCAATTGTTGCATAAAATGAAACAACCAAACTTTTCTTTTGTTAAAAACAATACTATATTCTACAGAACCTGACAAGTTAATTCTAAAGTAAGATATACCCACATATTATTAATGAAAAATGATCACTGAGATTGATCGGGTCAAACAATCTATACATCCAAAACAAGATATCATAATCCATGTATTTACTGAAATTGGTATTAGTAGCGAAAAACTTTAATAAAAAAAATAATGTTATGATATAACGTTTCAATTAAATATAATTAAAATCAATTTATTGAATGATACGTTTCAGTTTTACACATATCAGAGTAAGCTAACAAGTAACAACCACAGGATTTACGAGTGCAAGAATATTTCAAATACATTGTTTTATTTTTTTTAAAAGAGAAAGAATATTTCAAACATTCCTGCTCACAAAAGAAAAGGACATTAGGCCAAGCCCATCACCGTATCATCCCAAATTCTCAATTACTTGTTAATCACTGTGTGTCTAAGGTAAGTACTAACCTGACATTAACAGTGTAACAAATATTTAAGATGAAAATTTGAAAAACAAAATGGCTAAAAGTCACGTGATAGCTGTCTGTCTCGTGCGAATCACGCACGCAGCCGTTGGATAAGTCGCTTGCTGACTCGGATGGGAGATTTTCGGTGGAGTGAGAAGTAGCAGATAACAACCCATGATTAAAGGCTGTACGAATGTCGTTTTCGGTAATACTTTAGAGGCTTTTGACCAAAATGGGCGTTGAATAACCCGACCCGGTAACCCGAAACATTTGTATTATATTGTATTTTTTTTTATTTACATCTATTGGCCATAGACTGATCTTTTTCGGATAAAAGAATGAATTTCAGAGTTACAGTTTTTTCTGTTGACAAAAAAAAAAAGAGTTAACAGTTTTTTTCTCTGGCAAAATCATTTCTGAAATTTACAGATTTCTCTGATGTTTTACTGATGGGATTACCTTTTACCATCTTTTTTTAATTTACAGTACGTAGTTTAATGCTTAAATTATTAGATAAACTTAACATTAAATTATTTAACAAAAACTCTGAGCGTTAAACTACTTAACAAAAACTGTGAAAAAAGGTATTTAGCAACAAAAAAAAAAAAATGCGTGGCGCAGTTTTGAGATACATGTGTGACAAACGTTTATTTTTGAAGAATAAATTATGGTACATTTATCAATTTTGTCATTTTCATCACCGTTTCCATAGATAAAAATAATTTCACAATCTTTATTTTTTCAAATGGGTACTTTATTTTATAATGTAGCAATTATATAACCTTCTCAGTTTTCATCTCACTTTCAGATTTTCCCTTTGCTTTAGTTAAACACGAAAGTAAAGAAACAAAACTTCAAAAGAAGAGAAAAAAACTACATAGGTTCCCTTTCTTTCTTTTTTATAAACAGTTGCTACCAAACTAAATGCGGTAATTATACAATTACAACTGGTCCAGAATAGAATATTGGAGGTACATGTTCATATCATATAACACGCATTAAATATTATAAATTCGGCATCATATAGGCCGATAGAGAGAATCCATAGATACATACTGACAAATTATTTCCTTTTCATCTTATTCTAGAAAAATCCAACTAAAGCTACTAATTAGAGCCTTAGAGTCGTATAGCCTATATAAATCATATATATATATCTGCCCTTATAAAACCATTTTTGTTTTTTTATAAATATCTTTAATATTTAGACAAAAAAGAAAGAAAGAGAAAAAACCATTTTCATCACCTTCGTCTTCTCCATTATCTCTCTACCAAATCTGGCAGAGAAAAACAAAACCGAAAGAAGAAGAAAAACGAGATTTAAGCTTATAATAGAGAGAGAGAGAGGAAGGACTCGATTCTGTTTATTATGGATAAGAGCTGTAACTCATCCGGCGATTCATCCGCCGTATCCGCCTCCGCGACGAGTAGTACCGGTAACAATACAGGGAACAGAGATCATTACCTGAGACAACTCAATAAGCTCTCTCATAAGATATCGAAACCGGCAGCAAACTCCTCCTCTTCCACCGTGAACCGTGAAATTGATCACCAATCGCTTCCTCCTCCGCCTTCTGCGATTAATCAGGGGAATCTCCACCAGCATCAGCCTCCAGTTTACAATATCAACAAGAACGATTTTAGGGATGTTGTTCAGAAACTCACCGGCTCGCCTGCGCATGAACGGATCTCTGCTCCGCCGCAGCAGCCGGTTCACCACCCTAGGCCTCAACAGAGTTCGCGTCTACACAGGATCCGTCCTCCTCCGTTGGCTCACGTTATCAATCGCCCTCCTGGTTTGCTAAATGACGCTCTTATCCCTCCAGGTGCTCAGCATATGAACCCTAATCATCATAACTGGTCCGGCGGATTTGTCCCCCGACCGACGGCGCCGCTTTCTCCTCTCCCACCATTTCCTCCAGTTCACGCGGCGGCGGAATCTCCGGTCTCTTCCTACATGCGGTACCTTCAGAACTCGATGTTCGCAATCGATTCGAATCGGAAAGAGTTCTCTGGTTTATCGCCGTTAGCGCCTTTGGTCTCACCACGCTGGTACCAACAACAACAGGAAAACGCTCCGCCGCCGCAAAATAACAGTCGCCCTCCACATCCTCCTCCTCCCGCGGCTCCGGGAACAGTCTCGCAGGCGGCGCCGACATCGATTCCGGCGCCACAATCGTTCGGATGTTTAAATTCGCCCAAATCACCATACGGATTACTCTCACCGAGCATACTCTTATCGCCAACACCAGGTCAATTAGGGTTTCCGTCATCTCCGACTACTGTGCCGCTTCCTAGCCCCAAGTTCAAAGGTCATTGATCGGGAAAAAGACCTTGTCGGTCAGATTAAAAACGTCGTCGTTTGATCGCCGCGACCAAATTCCCTTTGTTCTTTTTGTACATCATTAGTGGTGGATGATTTGTTTTTTTTTTTTTAAACTCAAATTACATAATCCTCTTTCATTTGTTTCATGTTTGTTCATGTTAAGAAACAAAGCGTAGGAGAAACAAAGGAATACACTTTTGCAACCATTTTTATTCTTTTGATTTGTTCATCATCATCTCTTCGTGGATCAAATTGCCTACGGTTATTAATTTTCTGATTCTCGATTCAAATCGGATATTTAATGATTTGATTGATTCGTTCATTGGTGAAAAGGTATTGGATAGCTATACCAATCACTTCACTGTTCCTTTGGTTGAATTTTTGCTTCCGTTGAAACTTCAAACCTTGACGAAAATCATGAGCGTTTCTCTTTATTTTACGTTTAAAAATTAAAATACATCACTCACGAGTGTGTATGCTTAAGTAGTTCTTTTTACATTAATCAAATTGATAATTCCCTTAACTAGTGCCATTTTTAAATTGAAAAACAATCCAATTCCATAAGACTAAGATAGACGGAGCCTTTTATGATTCTTCAAATTGATGAGAAAACACAATGCGAGGTTCGGTTGCAGACATTGAAATCGATAACAAAAAAGAAAAAGAAAAATGCAGAGCAAAAAAAAAGAGACGATGAAATCAAGCAAATAGATAAAATGATGATTCAACGGTTCGCCTAGCCAGAAATATGATATGAATAAACAGGCTTTTTTGGGAGATGAGCGACGAAATGGCAAAGCGACCACTTAAGACTTAAGCAAACACATATGGACGAAAGAGGAAAGAAGTTCCCAAACCCTAGAAACTAGCAGTTCACTCAGGAGACTGTTACTGCTGTTCCTCAGCTGGCTTTGGAGCAGATGCTTCCTTGATCTCCTCCGCAGCATCGTCCTAACATGATCCACACACCATTACAGCATTTAGTCCATGAAATTGCGATGAATATGAGGAAAAATAAGTTCAAAAGAGGGTTATCTGGACCAAACCTGCATATCGGATGTCCAGAGCGTGAGGTTGTCACGGAGAAGCTGCATGATCAAGGTGCTGTCTTTGTAGGACTCTTCACCTAGAGTGTCCAATTCTGCAATCGCTTCATCGAAAGCCTTGACGATACATACAACAAAGAAACAGTCAAAATTAGATTCATCAAAGGAATATTCCACCTAGAGTATCTGATTCTGCGAATGCTTAAACTCGTATATGAGTTTCGATGAGGAGGTAAAGTGTCTTGCAAGTCCAGTAAACACATATTCACAAAATGATTGTAAGATTTGATGGATTCAAATACCTGTTTGGCGAGGTTGCAGGCACGATCAGGAGAATTGAGGATCTCGTAGTAGAACACAGAGAAGTTCAATGCTAGACCTAGACGGATAGGGTGAGTTGGAGCGAGCTCTGCATTGGCAATATCCTGCATAGAGAGCCACAATCATCAACAAAGGCTCAAGATCGAAACCCAGGCAAACTCAAGATCACCTAAACAATCGAATCAATCTACTCGGAAACCAGAAAATCTAACTCTCGAAGCAAGTAACTAAAGCTTATATGAATCCAGCGGATTCGAGATCCACAAATCACAAGACTAGATCTGGGAGAAAGACGACGATTACCTGAGCAGACTTGTAGGCGGAGAGAGTGTGCTCGGCGGCGTCTTTCCTCTCTTGGCCAGTCTTGAACTCGGCCAAGTACCTGTGGTAATCGCCCTTCATCTTCAGGTAGAAGACCTTTGAGTCACCGGAAGCAGCGGCGGGGATGAGCCTGGAATCGAGCAGCTTAAGGATTCCCTCGCAGATTCCGGAAAGCTCCGTCTCGATCTTAGACCTGTAATCGCGGATCGCCGTCACGTGGTCGTCGTTTCCGCGGCTCTCCTCCTTCTGTTCGATCGAAGAGATGATCCGCCACGAGGCACGGCGAGCGCCAATCACGTTCTTGTAAGCGACGGAGAGGAGATTTCGCTCTTCGACAGTGAGCTCATCGCCGTCTACGGCGGCGGAGACTTTCTCCATGAACTCTACCATCTCCTCGTACCTCTCCGCTTGCTCGGCGAGCTTGGCCATGTACACGAACTCCTCACGCGCAGAAACCGCCATTTTTTCTTCCTCCTTCACAAAAAATCTATCGAAACAAACAAAGAGAAAAGATCTGAGATCTCCAACTAAAAGAAAAACAATGAGAAAAAACGGTTCTTGACGAGACGATTCGATAATCGGTGTAGGTCAAGCGAGAGAGAGAGAGAGAGTCTGAGAATGAATGAAAAGTTTAATGAGGGAAAAAAAAGCGATAAAATGCGTTTTAGAGGAAAAGAGTGAAATTTGGAACCAAGATTCAATATGGGCCGTCTGATTCGTGTGTTGTTCTATTGCGGGAGGTCCTGCTTTTAATGGGGGAAAACTTTTTTAAGGGCCTGTTTGGATTCTATTTTATTTATTTACCTCTCAAATAAAGAAAATAATAAAAGTTACAGAATCTTGTAAATACACACCACTCTCTCTCTATCGACATTCGAATTTCTTAAGGATGGCTATGAAAAGTTTCGGTTATTACCAAAATAAATGATAGTAAGTACATGATTTTTTTTGCCCACCCTAATATTTTTGGTCTAATAGTTAGTTAATGGCTAGTTTTTGTAGACATGTAAATATAGTTTATCTACTACAAACAAACAAAAAATTAGAAAAGGAGTTACAGTATTAGGTTGATACAAATATACAATAATGGAAGCAAGTTGGGTTAGCAAAAATGGAGACAGCTCAGAGGGACACATGTGTTGTGAACATGTCAGAGGATCCTAAGGACTATTTCACATTTTCGTGGCTCTTCAAACGTTTTTTTCGATTTTTTTAAAACTCGGTTATAAAAATTTAAGATCTTGAAAATTTAAGACACAGACGATTTGTACGAGATTCTTGAAATCATTCCGTTATATAAAATTATGATGTTATTGTATTTCGTACTGAGAGAAATATATATTTTTTATAACCTATTAAAGTCAATTGTATTTTGGATGCCTCTTCCAAATTATTGATTAGTTTATTGGTTACGGCTTTACACGAAAGTTTTGTATTTCGTGAACCAACAATTGTTTTTTCCTTTACAGTTTTGTTTATTACTTTCTCCATTCCAGTTTTGGGTTTTTTTATTTTGTTCCACAAAAATTGATTTTTTTACATTATATTTAATATATTTCTATTTCCAAAATAACTTTTTGGATAAAAAAATATAAAAAATTAGTATTAAATTAATAAACACACAAAAAATACTTTAAAAAAGTAAATAATCATTGTTTTCTTAATATCTGTGAAACATCTAAAACATCATACATTCTAGAACGGAGAGAGTATAATATTCATCCAACACTACTTATCCTTATCCATGAACCATGATTATGTTTTTTTATATATCTTACTTCTTGGTTAAGTTATTTTATTTTTCATTATTTTTCTTGATGCAACATGACATAGACAGCTTTAGCTGCCCGATCAGTTTATGCGATGATGTTTAATACTTGATGATGCTTAGTGACTGTGAGCTTCTGATGGAGATGTCTTGCATACAAGATGTAAAGAAGTTAAAAACGAAAAATTATAAACGGAAAGTAACAGATGGTAAAAGGAAAACTTTGTTTCCTTGATTTGATTGGTTTCAATTAACGTAGGAGTTTTACAGTACACAACAGACCGACTAATGAAATCAAGTGGGGTCCAAATTTAGAATAATATTCTTTTGCAAGGGTTAAAATACAATTTGAGGAAAATTTATACTTCTAATGGGACCAAACAATCAATAGTCAATACCCACAAGTTGTTAGGAACGTTTTCGGCCTCCAAATATCTCCGAAACTCACAATGCCAATAAGTTTTAGGATATTATTACTTGTTGTGATCCACGAGTCTATCTTGTAATCATATTGATAACTTATGACAAGAAGAAAATCTTACAGTTACAGTATGTTTACACAGTTAAAACTCTAGGATTATTTCTTACATGTAATCCACTTCTCAAATACCCCACAACCACAAGGCCATAACCAAATACGTAAAACGTTACAAAGACAAAGATAAAATCAATAGTTAATTGTATTTCTCTTATAGAAGCATAGTTATTTGCCAGAGTATTTCTCCAATAGTAATTCCTCTTAACTCCTAAAATTAATTATACGAATACCCAAATCTTTTGCACGAAGAATCTTGTTCGTCTAATTAATTCACAATGTCGGTAACCCCAAAATAATAAAGGAAAACGAATTAAAAACAATTTATAGGAGGTCGAAATCAACCACTTGTAATCGAAACCCCTTCCCGCGACATTCTTTAAATGTCTCTCTTATTTATTTTTTCCTTTGTGATTTCAAAAAAATTATATACTACACCCAAATCTTTAGGGAAAAAAAAAAAACAATAGTTGGCAATTTAAAAAAACAACACATTTGACACGTGTCAAATTCTCCATCGATCCTTCATGACAGAAACATACAAATGAAGTCAAAAGCAGTGACTCTGCTCCAAAAGCAAAGCAGGTTCCCAAGAAGATCAAATCCGAAAAATGTGCGATCGATCTTAATTGCTTTGTATTATTATTACATCACTTCCTAAAATTCCGGTTGAAATCCTTCTGTCTCTCCCGTATAATTCCAAAAGTTCGTTCCTTTTTGTCGAAGTCATCTCTCAAATTTCTCTCTTCGATTAATTTAATTGGTTCTTCTTCTGCTCTATGAACAAGAACTGAGGAGTTCCGTCTCGATTCCTCTTGCTTCTCTCAGATTCTCTTATTTATACATACACGTGTGTGTTTGATTTCTTCGTCTTTGCTTCTGACTCTAAGGAAGAGAGAACAGAGCATAAACAGAAACAGAAACAGAGAAGCTCTGTTCTTGTGTTACAGAATATGGAGAGATATGAGATAGTGAAGGATATTGGGTCTGGTAATTTCGGAGTAGCGAAGCTTGTTCGTGAGAAATTATCGAAAGAGCTTTTCGCTATTAAGTTCATCGAGAGAGGCCAAAAGGTGTCTGTCTCTCTGTTTTTTCACTATCTCTGTATTAATTTGCTCTGTTTGTTCTTGATGTAATAATATGTTTATTTGTGGGTGTTATGAAGATTGATGAACATGTACAAAGAGAGATCATGAACCATAGGTCCCTCAACCATCCCAATATAATAAGATTCAAGGAGGTATACACAATCTGTTATTCTTCTGTTAAAAGTCCTATAATATTACTTCTCTGTAAAATACTACATACCTAAAAATGATTCTTGTGTGAAAAATGTAAAAAATAAAACAAATGTAGGTTTTACTGACGGCAACACATTTGGCGATCGTGATGGAATATGCTGCCGGAGGAGAACTCTTCGGAAGAATCTGCAGCGCCGGAAGATTCAGCGAAGATGAGGTCTCTCTTTCGATATCTTTTTCTTTTATCATTACCTAAATTAACAAAAACAGAAAATCTAAAGAAGAAAGTTGTGTGTAAATGATGGTTTCAGGCAAGGTTTTTCTTTCAGCAGCTCATATCAGGAGTTAGTTACTGTCATAGTCTTGTAAGAACAATTCCAAATTAATAAAAAAAAAAAAACTTGTGTTATCTATCACATGAAATTACTTAAAAGTGATTCATTTTTATTTTTGTTTGTTAAATGGAAAAGCAAATATGCCATAGAGATTTAAAGCTAGAGAATACGCTATTAGATGGAAGTGCAGCGCCACGTGTAAAGATATGCGATTTCGGATACTCAAAGTCAGGAGTTCTTCATTCGCAGCCAAAGACAACAGTGGGAACACCTGCTTATATTGCACCTGAAGTGCTCTCGAAAAGAGAGTATGACGGCAAAATCGCTGATGTTTGGTCTTGTGGTGTCACTTTGTACGTAATGCTTGTCGGTGCTTATCCTTTCGAAGACCCTTCTGATCCTAAAGATTTCCGCAAAACCATCGGTCGGATTCTGAGATCTCAGTATTCTATTCCTGATTATGTCCGAGTTTCTGATGAATGCAAACACCTTCTGTCTCGTATATTCGTCGCCAACCCTGAAAAGGTACACAAAAATATAGATACTATATGGTATTTTCGATTTCATACTTTCATTATTGATCCTAACTAGCCTTGATTTGAGGGAGCAGAGAATAACGATGGAGGAGATAAAGAGTCATGCTTGGTTTCTCAAGAACTTGCCGGTGGAGATGTCGGAAGGATCATTGAGGGTGAACAATCCGGCTCAGAGCGAGGAAGAGATTGTGTGGGTCATTGAGGAAGCTCGGAAAACAATCACCGGAGCTTCTGGACTCCACGGTGCTGGTGGCTCCGGTGAAAGCAGCAGTGGTGCAATTGGAAGTAGTATGGATCTTGATGACTTGGATGCAGATTATGACGATATTGACACTGGTGATTTCGTTTGCGCTTTGTGACCGACAGGCCATTATTATTTATTTCATTCGCATTACAAAAGAAGAGATTTATGTCATTTGCATTACAGACGTGATGTATAACGTTCTTTACAGCTTTGATTATTTTAAACGCAGTGGTTGAATGTCATTATAAAACAAATTATTTTTGAATTATCTGTTGGACATTTTTATACATGCATGATACGTGTATAAAACCAGAAATTTAGTCATGTAATAATGTAAAATAATTATATATAATGTGTGTTATCTATATAAACAAACAACCGCCTTCACTGAGTCGCAAAAACTCCCAGAAAAGCTATGAAGTTAAAAACACTTATTTTCTGCATTTTACCAATACAACAACGCAAGTTAAGAAGAAATATCAGTTGGAAAGAATCAGTAGGAGTTAAGTAGACTCCAAACAGTTTGCTCAATTTGTTCCCACGATTCTGCTGTTCGAAGTTCGTCCCAAATGCTGAACATTGCACCCAACACATTCTCTTCATGTAATATACAATAACACCTGAAACCAATCCACACAGTTTTAGTCTTATAGTTATAGATACAACACAAGAAACCTTCAAGGCTATTATTTTGTTATGTTTGCGACAGTCTCATTACTTACATTGTACGGTAAGAAGGACACAGTACTTTCTTCCTCGTACTGTCTGCTGTTTTTGTTGTTGTTCCATTCTCTGGCGACGACTTGCTTCTGATTAATGGAAGCCCGTAGCTTTCTAGAAGCTTCTTGAAAAGATCAGCGTCTCCCCTAAAGATGTCCAAGTATATTGGTATCAAGTCGCATATGGGATCTCCTGCAATTTCCTCACTCTTTCAGAAAACTCTCCAAGAATGCCCACAACTTCAGAATTACGAATTTTGGGGAAAGAGATTTTTAGATATCAAAGGTACCAATGGACAAATCGCTGAAGTCAAGAATATGACTGGGACGCCATGAATTGCGCTGACCAGTGACCGAATCATCATCTGCGTGTGGTTCCATGTGAATGTTGTCGTCCATCACGTCTGAGTGTATCCAGGTGCAGGGCTTAATTTCACCTCCAACATCTGTGTCCTGTGATCTCATAAAAGGTTATGTTACTTCTCAAAACTCTGGCCAATTTTAAGGAGGTATATATAGATTCCTGAGAAGATAGAAGGATAAGAGAAGCAACCTTGAAAACATGGAGCAAATCTACAAAAAAATCATCGGGGATGTATTCGTCTATTTTGCTCATCAGAGCCCGAGGAATAGGATTTCCCCTGAGAGTTTTCAAAAAATAGAAAAAACAATCACCAACAAATGAGCTTTTTTTAGAGCAAAAGCAAAATGGAAACAAAGACTTTAAGAAGCGTACCAGTTTTCCAGACGACCAGTGACGTCCTTCTTCTTTTGGCAAAGAGCATCGACAAAAACTTTCCATTCTGGTGGAATCTTCAACTCCTCATGAACATCATTTGCATTCATTAATAACTCAGGACGTGTGACTGGTGGATATGGCAGTTGATGAAGGTTGCGTAGTTGTTGTCCCAGAAAAGAAGCCAAGTTCTCAGCGTCGCTCCACGTCAGGTCATCTCTTCTGCAAACAACAGCTTCAAATTAGAGATCATGCATTTGGTTTTAAAATATGAGTCTCGCATTGATAAATAGGAACAAAAAGAGCACTCACAGTTGGGCAAATATCTTCCCTTTGCATCTTTGTGTTATAATATACGGCCAAACATGTGAACTCAATGAACCGAAAGAATCAGGTGCTGGCTTCCCCTGGTTTCTATGTTCAAGCAGCGTTTTGTTCCAAATACCAAATGGGAACTCGCTGTTCAACATTGATGCATCGAAAGAGAGATTGGAGCTCGTGATAATGTCTGGGATTTTCTTGCCATCCCAAGGCACAACTTTGTAAGATCCTTTCTCGAAGTAAAGAATCCCGCTTGCCAGAACATCAGGGATATGGCTTTTCAAAGGAGAATCAGCTCGGCCAAGAATGTCATAAAACTCGAGCTGAAGTAAAGAAAACAAAGAGTTACTACAATCGCTTAAAAGGGTGCCAAAACTACTGTACACAGATTACTTGCCTCAGTTCCTAGACCGTACATAGACTGTTCCAGCCCTCCTTCGACAAACAGTTTTACCGCATAGTCAGAGAACAGATAAACCTAACAGAGAAAACAAGAGAAGTAAGAACAAATAGTTCTGAACTTTTGTGCGAAGGTTTTTTACGAGAAACAGTCAACTCACAGGATTGCTGCCAGTTCCAACTGGAAGCTTTTCATCTTCGGTAACAGAAGGCAGGTTGTAGAAGGTACATACTTCCTCTAGGCATCGCAACCATTTCTCAGCATTTAAAGCAATACAAGCTCCCTAAAGACGACGAACAGCAAAGAGAAAGCACTAAGGATCGATGATGGAAAGACATTTATAAAGCTATATAAACTAAAATCTTCATAATAGTAGGAACTACCTTCCATATCAGTTCTCTCATCTCAGGCTTCAGAACCCAAAGCTTTGATAGCCAGCCTCTCATTTCTCGTTGACCCACAGAGTTCCCCATAGACCATGGGAAATTGTAATGGTCTCTTTCTTTATCAAGAAACGTCGCCAGGAAATCCAAATCATAAGAGAACCCATTCTTCCACATATTGTATCTCTTTGATACTCCATTAGCATCCTCCTCGTGGTTGTCTTCAGTCTCTCCCTCTCCGTTCATCCGTACCCTCTTCTCTTTCCTGGTAAGGTCAGAATAGCTCAAAGTATTGTCGTCCTCATCGTGTGTTTCATCTTCCATCTCTTCAGAATTTCCATCATCGTCAAGAGCAAGAAGCCCAGCACGACAAACCCCTTTGTGTTGGTAACCAGGCGCCATATCCAAACACACGAACCCAAAGTTCTCTTTGTTCACGAAATTCTGAGTAACAGCCACTGTTGGTTCAAGATTAAGGATACAATGCCACCAACCACTTGGAACATAGATCGTTTCACCAGGTAGTAGTGTGCACTCAATCGGTTTGTCTTCGTCGGCAAGGAGAGGATAATAGTCCAACCACCACTGTTCATGGATTGAAAAAAACTATTAACAGGATACAGTAAAGACGAATCGAAAATGTCAATGCTTGAACAGTTCCAGCAATATACCTGCAGAGATGAAGGGGTATCGATGCTGACATCACCATCATCTTCATTCACATGGACTGTAACACCTAGAGGCACTTTTCCAGGGGGATACAGTGCCCACCTTTTCCGACCGCAAAGCAGGGTGTTCCAGGCGCTGGTAAGAGCTGGATCGACGTGCCAAGATGCACCAGACCTCTCCGGACCAACAATAAGCCATCTGTACGGTGGACGATTTTCTTTGTCCAAGATCTCAAACCAATCTTCTTGAAACAAATGAGGCACACTGTAGTCTTTCAATAGTTCAGGAGCAGCGTCTCCAAACTACATGAAATGTTGTATTTCCATAAACAAAGTTTTGGTTCTGCCGCAACACTATCACTGATGTGCAGAGAAAGTTAAATGTAGATTACAAATCAAATTTCCGTACCCTGTCATCGAAAACGTATAGAGGATCTTCATCACGCTGGAGTCTCATATACGAGATGTAATCCTTGAACTTCATGGAAATTTTGTTGGGACTCCTCTGAGATATTCTAAACGGCACCTCACCATATTTCTCTGATAGTTGGTCGATTGTCCATGTATTACTGGCTGGCCAAGAATCAGCAAGGCCAGAGAGCAAAACCTAAACCATAGACAGGGATAACGTCACACAAAAAAAACTCTCATTTCTGAAAATGCGTAACAGAGCATCATCATCTTATGTTAGTAGCACATCAAGACATAACCTTGCACATATAAAAGGAAATAAATTTGTACATACAGGTTTCTTGGCGTCGTATTCCTTGGAAAACTCATCCAGGGAGATTTCTCTCCTACGTTCCACATTCCCGTCATCAAAAGAGAAGCCGTCAAGAGATGTATTACACCTATAAAATCGTTTATACAAGTACAACGAACTTAATCCTGCACAAGAGCCAAGTCCATGAGAAAAAAATCGAGAGGACCAACATGATCATATATCGTAAGAGAATGGGGAAACAAAACCCATCAGTCGAATGAATATCCTGGAAAAAAAAACCAACTAGATTATGCTTTAAAGATTTTACCATCAAAATGCAAAGGCTTTCTGTATGCATCTTTGTATGCATCCTGAGTAACTCCTTCTCTGTATAGCAAAACCAATCAGTCACAAAAAAAGTTAAATACAAAAAAGACAACTGGAAGGAGAGTCTGATGGTTTCCAACATTAGCCAAAAGTTACAAATCTAAAGTTCATTAGAATGTTTTCATTGAACATAAAACTAGAGGTATTTGCAAAGAATTTACAGATGCAGTGTCGTGTTTTTCCAGGATCCTTTGTACTCAAGTGGACCCTTTGCTTTTCTGAGACATAGGGTCATCCATAGTGGTTCTTCGTTACATAGGATATACATGACACTGCATAACAAATATAAAAGCAACGAAATTTATCACAAATGTCGTGGAATCAAAATTCACAATAACGCATTGAGGAACAAATAGCGATTAAATTCATCTACTTGGACACTCATTTTGATCAATTTTGATGTTAAATCGATCAATGATCAATCTAGAAAGAGGATTTTAAGAAACCTGCTGACGCAGGCGAGGTGAGCGATGTCTCGGGGAGTAAGGTATTCGAGAAGAACACAGATGGTCTCATCCGGGAGGACACTGAGACTTCCGAGAGCCTCTGGTCGGCGATCTCTCTGTCCAAAAGTCGTCGTCGCATCCATTTTTTCCTCGAGTTTCGATTTTTTCTGTGGGATCTGATTCTTTTCTTCCTGAAATTCGACCTTGACGCGGTGGCGCGTGATGATCCGAGTCTCGTGTGGTCACCGAGTGCGCGGGATTGTCTTTTCCACGGTAAATGTCCTTTCGCACGTTGTACGCGTTAGAGTAATCGAGCTTTAGATACGTCGTCGTTTCAACGATCGAATCTGATTGGAAGGGAGATCATCATCGCGTTTAGCTTACGCAAAATCGTTTTGTAAAGGATAAACGCGGAAACGCGCTTCTTCCTTCCAGAAGAATAACAACAAAAACGCAAAACTCGGAAACTTCTACAATACGACGACGTTCCGCAGTTCTCGTGTTGCACAGACGCGGAGAACGAGAAACGGCCCGTAGTCTTTGATTAATGGGCTATATCTTAAGAGCCCATAATAAACGGTCCATTGAGTTTTTTCGGCGGCCCATTTGTTTCCTAACTTTAATTTGCCAGTATATTATCTGCCAAATGCATGGAATGTCTCATAATCATTTGAACGGCTTTGAATGAAAATTAACTCAAATATCATTTTTTTTATAAAAGTTTTATACTAGTTGCAACGATCCATACCTTTTTTTCTCAATTGGATAATATATTTTGTAATGCCCATATTGAAAGTTTGAAACTCCCAAGTAAAGGAGAGGATCAAAAAGAGGAGAGAGCAAGAACACGAATCGTATAGCATAAAGTTGAAATTATTAGAAATATCAATAATGAATAAGAAGAATCTGAAGAACTCGATTTATATGGAGATTTCGTCAGAAAAAAAAAAGTGAGAGAAACTATGACAAGAGTATTATAAAGAGATATATAGAGCTGTCTTAAAGTTTGACAGTCTAGAGTGGTCTTCTTGAGGCTCAAGTCATAACTCTGGTTTGAGAAATAAATGAATTAGCTGTTTTTTTTTAAACTCTCTCTTAAGAGAGAAAAAGAGGGAGAGGTAAAATGTGAAGATTGTACAAATTGGGAAATGCAAGAGATCAAGAAGATATTGTTTCTTTGTTGTTGCTGGTTGTAATTTCAGGTGCAGTAGTAGTCGTTGCTTCCTCTTCTGCTGATACTTGTTGTGGTGCTTCAGTTTCTGGAGAAAAATATACCATAAAATAAAATTAGATGATAATTGCGGTTTAGTCTGATTTAACTGAACACTATCTGAGAGAAACTTTGTTCAGTTTTTTCTTTTCTCTAGAATAAATTTGATCATTAATCTTTAAAAAGGTGACAGGAAACCAATTGCAATTATCACTATTGGTTTTAGACATTTGCACACACACACACACAGTCCAAAACATGTATATATGTGTGTGTGTGTAGAGATGTTGTCAGTGAATGGTGGCTTCACTGGCATGGCGACCAAATTGACAGATGATGGAGAAGAGACACATATACCAATGTAATGAAAATAGACAGCTCATTCCACATGCATCCTTTTATTCACTGTTCTCTCCAATCATTCACTCTCCTTTTCTTTTCCATTTCTTCACATATTTGCTTGAAACCCAATTCCCTTTTTTTTTTACTTAGAGTGGGCATCATAAATTTGTTTCTTTGTGAAGTTTGAGGATCAGTTTACGTGCATGAATGATCAATACTATAGCAATAAGGCATGACCATAAACGATCGCATTTATTGAAAGTATAATATATTATCTGCAAACAAATTCATAAATTTTCATCTAAAAAATAATTGGTATTAGACAAACTGATGTGTATCACTTAAGATTACAGTTTAAAATAAGATGATGTAGGATGCTAGGATTCCTAACGCATACTTTGGAGATGGTAACAATTTTTATAATATATCTCAAACTGTATTTAGATCATTTTGTTAGACTACCAATCTAAAATTTTGAAATTATTTTTTTAGTTTAAAATTAATTGGCAGTGAATATCTGAGTTTCATGTCACTTGCTTATTATTTTATTTTAAATCGCACACTATTTTAAATGTAGGTTTCCTAACCAATAGAAAGAAAGAAAAATAAAAGTTAAAAGAGTGTAAGTACGCACCTGTGGAAGACGAGAGTAGTCCTTGGAGAGGAGGTGCGAAAGAGGAAGTGGAGGGGTAAACAATGAAAGAAGGAGAAGTAAACCGTTGATGTTGATGCTGTTGAGGGTTATATGGTTGAGGAAGATGATGATGCTGATGGTGTTGGTATGGCACTCTAGGAGCTTGAAGAGAATAGCCGTAATAGTAAGGAGAAGGCATGATGGTTGCTGATGATGATGATGGTGATGTTGCTCCTCCTCCATATAACTGTTGCTGCTGTTGATAGTACTGTGCTTGTTGCAACTGTGTGTTGTACAGTGCCTGTGGCATATGTATACATCATCGTCATTACAATCGATGTCTATGTTTTACAACAAACATGCATGTGCTAATGTTTTTTCATGCATTATGTAAGTGGTCGACATGTACAAGATACGTTGTACGTAAAATCCCATTATTATCTTTGCAGTTCATGATTAAATTCGATTTTGCTTTATGTTCATGTTTGTTTGGGTATGTGAATATATGTAATATGTTGTGTGTGCCATACGAATGTAGGGGAGAGAAAGAGAAACTGACTTGGTGGTACCCAAATTGATCTGGGTTATAGGTGTACCTGAAAAAAAAAATCAATGATTCTATTTAACCAAAATTTAGAACAACAAAATCTTCTTGTTTAGTTATTGTATTTGAAACATATTATTATAGAAAACCACCCTCTATATAATTTGCATTTTCTTCTAGTGTTACCTACGATAAGATTTTCTCAACTTCCATCTGACTATATATTAACTTTGAGGATGATCAACATTGCAGGGTTTCTATAAATCTAGATATATATTTATGTTATGATATTTACAGCCTGACAACAAGTGGATCGATTGACGCATTAAATTGTCTCCTACCGTTTCTACAGAAAATGGACCATCTCTGTATCTATGCAAAACATTTATAAGTCTCTCCTAAACCATATATATCCATGGTTTTTTCTTTTTAATAACTAGGAGTAGTTATAGTTTAATAAAACCAATATACTAATATAGCTTACCCGTAGCTCGGATACAGGAGCTGGGCAGCTGCAGCCGGTGGAAGCTGTGCAGCCATACCCGTATAGGCTGATGGTCCTCCACTCTGGTACTGACTCGGACTTCCTGTTTGTCCTCGTCCTATAACGATGTATATATAGTATACAAAAACGATTTGAGAGATGTACATTGCTAGTTTATGTGTCAATAACTAGCAATTCCACAATATATATTTTTCAACATTTATTTGAGAAAATTTTATCAAATGTTTATATATGAATTACACTACGCACATATAACATCATTGAACAATGTACTTATTCTAATTTAAGCGTGTACAACTGTAATCCCTTTATGTTATAAATACATATAAGACGCACCGAAATATTAATACTATCATGATCAAAATAAAACTCATCAAATAAATGATATTACGGAATATTATTCGGTTTAAGAAACAAACCTCGAGGAGGCGATGGTCTTGGCCGTCCAAAAGACGCAATATTACAGTTGGCTTTTCTTCCGTCGATCACCGGATTTGGATCAGCGACGGCTCTCGACGCAGCTTCCGCCTCCCGAAAAGTCACCTAAGTTAACGATCGGAGAAATTTTTTATTAGACCAAAACAGATATGAATAAGCAGAGTATTATTATATTGAAGAAGACAAAATAGAACTTACGAAACCGTAGCCTTTAGATTTGCCGGTGTTTTTATCGGTGATGATGACAGCTTCGAGAATCTCTCCGAACTGATCGAAGTAACGACGCATTTCTTCGGTGTGAGTTTCCCATGCTAATCCTCCGACGAACACTTTGGTGTAAGTCGTGTCTCCGAACGGTGATCGGTAATAGCTAGTTTGAGACATTTTATCTTTTATTTTTTAAAGGATTTAACAAACAAATATGGCGTTTTCCCGATGATGATGTTGATCATACACCCAAAAATAACAAATAATTTTGAATAAATAAATAAATTTGGAAAATTGGGTCTGTCTAAAAACTGAGCAATGAAAGGAAAAGAAAAAGTAAGAGAATTGAAATGGACAAAGTTGGGTTCTTTATATCATCAAATGTTGTTTTTGGTTGGACAAAGAGATGAGAGACCAATCAAAAGGTTGCAAATTGCAACCCTTGAAACGGTATCGTATTTGGCTCCGACCCTACACATACGGAGAGAGAGAGAGAGAGAGAATAAGGTTGTTTGGAAAATGTAATGTAAGAATTGGGATTGGAGAGGGTTTTGTAAGAAGGAGAAGGAGAAAGAGAGAGAGAGAGAAAGAGTGACAAGGCAACACTTGAGTATGTCTTCGCTGTCTAACTTGCCAGGTTTTAACATTATAGCTCCTCCACAACTTTTCTTCTCTAAGAATATTTCTTTTTAATTATAGCGACGTTCTTCTTGCGTATTTGATCATTATGTAATATTGGTTCAATCCTCTCTTTTTTTTACATGATAGTGTAGTTGATTTCTGTTATTGTTTGGTTTGTATAATTAGAGAAATATATCGAATATATTAATGTTTTTTTATAACTGTCCTCAAAATTTAGGTGATTAAGGGAAATATCTATGTTAATATTCCTTAAATAGCTATAGTACTTTAATAATATGCGGATCATGTCAAATTACAGTTGTTTAAGAAGTTCAATATTTTGTTTTATTCTTTCCCCCATGTTCTCTTTTGAGTTGGTCACTTGTTCTCTTCCTCCTGCTCGTCTCTGTAGGCTTAGCGTGATTGTGATACATCCTGCATCTACTGGTTATAGTTTAATTTCTTTTCTCACAATGAAATTAATGTATGCTTTTTCAATATAAATTTTTAGTGCATATGTATATATTTTTTTAATTGAATAATGGAACTTATTCCTTATTCTCACATGCTAACATGTACTTAACCTTCCCTTTAATCATTAGCTTACTGGAAAGCTATGAACGGACGAAAAAAGAACAGACTGGATTTTAGAATTACATTCTTTTGCTAACTATATATACTTTTCATACAGTTCTATAATTATATATTCTCTGATTTATTTTCCATATAACTATAGTGCATAATTCCTGATCCTATAATCTGATTTGGGTATATAAATAAAGAAGGACATGTATAGCTAACTGACAACCCGAAGTTCATATTATATAGATAAAATATGTTAGCTGCTGCACTCAATCATATTGTCAAAATGATGTAAAGTGTGTGTTGTGTATCAAATATCAAGTATTTATTTTGATGATTAAGCCAAAGAGATTTTGTAATGAGTTTTCATGATTAGTGGAAGTCCATTATTCTTTCCACCAAACCATATGGAAAAAAAAAACAAAAATATTGACGAAGAGGCTCTTGACTTTCGGATAGATCCCTTTGACGATTTCTTATCCTCCATATTTACAACCATGAAATTATAATTATAAATTATAAAGATCATGTAGTCACCCTCTATATTTAATCATCCAAATTTAGTGTCTAGTACAATATTAATAGATGGTATCTTACTTAATAAATTGATTATAAATATGGTTTCAAGCCACGTTAGTTGGTGTATAATCTAAATTTTACATTCTTAGATTATATGAGACGATTCGTTGCAAATTAAAAAGACGACTAATATATGAGACGACTCTAACTAGATTATCATTCTCTCAGTATATTCTCTTAAAATGACTTCATGATATAGATGCATAGTGCATGTATTTAAATATCGCCCAAGATTTATATGATTATTTTAAAATCTAAACGTACATAGATGGAGTATTTTGCATTGTTACTTCTAAGCATCAAATTATCTGAATTTGTATGTTAAATAAACTGATAATTACCATTCTTTCGAAAAATTAAATGTATAGTTTTTGATGAAATATATATTGACTTGTAGAGAAATGAAACGATACACACAAAATCTTGCCGTTTCTATATTCGTCACATAATGACGACATGATATTGTTATTACAAAAATTATCCTAGAACCCAAATTATGTTGAAACAGCTAAAAAGAATCATCCGCACACGAATTATATGTATGTAGCAACACTTTTGATCATTAACACATCGAACGACTTGTCTAACTCTTTTGGTCTTCAATATCGTACCATTCTACATTTATATGTGCACATGTACGTGGATAGTTTCCTACTTATATATAACCTATAAAAGAAGACATACTACACGTTGTAAAGGGTTACATCATGAGATGAGCTCATTGCATAGGTGCTTTCATAGACGCACGCACGCACGACCATCCTTATTCCTCAATCCTCATCATCGATTTTAATCCCCTTTTTGGCTTTTCCTTAATTTTTCCACTAAGTACACCCTATATATATATATATATAATTAGGATGTTGTATTTATATCCTTAAATATAATACAAACTCAAAATTTATATAACCTGTATCAAATCCCTTGTAGTTTATTGGTGTTAAGTGTAACGGTTTTTTTTATTACACACAAAAAATAACAGAGAAATTCGATGGAAGATAATCAACGAAACATGTGTAGTATACACGGTACTTGCTATGATATCCGAAGGCATTTGATTCATCTTGAAAACCAAATATATATATTTTTTTTACCATTGTCTATTTTTGTATCGTACTCTCTTATGAAGAAAAGTTGTTATTTATTTTCATACTTAAATACTTTACTAATATCTCTCACTGTTTCTAACTATAATTTTTTTTTTTTACTTTTTTATGGATCGTTTTTGTCATCAACTGGACCATTAATCAAAAAATTTCTAAAGTATTTTGAAATTTTAGGACCGATAAATATTTGTTCAAAAATAGTATAGAAGAGAAAGTAAACTTGAAAATAAATATTGGTGTGTTGTTTAGAAATATACACAGTATATATCAAAAATACAAAGACAGGAAAAGCAAAGTGGGGCCAGGAAACGTGGCGAAGAGGCGAGACAGTTGGAAGGAAGTTTGGAGAGATTCTGTGAACTGTCAGCTCCTTCCACGTGGACTTCCTGTCACACTTAACTGCTTTCAAATAAACTTGTCTGAAATACATACAATAGCGCCTATCAGTGATCAAAATTTTATTACGACAGTTATTGTTTTGGTCCTTTTTATAGTTTTGGTCTAGTATTTAGGGAATACGGTGCGATTAGACGAAAAAAAAAGAAAAGATTTAGCTTTTAACGGAGTTCAGTGCTTTAACAATAGATGTTTAACTCACAGAACATATCAGTTTAGTATATATAACTATATTTTGGACATGTGAAAAGCAAACAACGAAAACAAAGCCTGAGGAAGACACGATTATAGGTTTAGATTCGTATCACTGAACATCTGGGGTGGTGGCGCAGTTGGCTAGCGCGTAGGTCTCATAGCTACTGAGTGATCCTGAGGTCGAGAGTTCGAGCCTCTCTCACCCCATTTTCTTTTGCGTCAAATCCAAATTTCGAAATTTTTAATTTCTTTCTTTTTGAGAGAGCCCATGATACAGTGGCCCCAAATCATAATATTTTGAAAATTGGGCCTCTGAGAAACCCACCAGGTTCGAATGTATAATTAAATTTCCTCTTCAGAGATGACGAAGTGGGTCACCATCAGTCATGTCATGCATGGTCATGAAAACGTCACGAGGCAATTACTCGAGAGAGATAAGTTAGTAGAATGATAAAAAAGATAGAAAGATTGAAGCATGAGGATATTGGTACCCATGATCATTTGAAACACTCCTCATCATCTCTTCTTGAAAACGCTACGATACTCACTAGTCATTGTTCTTACTTCAATTCTCTCACATGTTCCCCAAGTTCCATTCATATAAATTCCTCCCTACAAATACAACATTTAATAATTTGCCGTCACACCCAAATCAGTGAAAAATTCAATAGCCGATTTTGTACTAATTCGATTCAATAGTTTGTAACAAGATATTTCAATTTCGAGTCACTCCAAAATGTTATCTTGAGTGTTGAACAATAACTAATGATTGGATTGTGTATAAAGAAAAGGGTTTTGATTTATAGAGAGTTCCCACATGGAATGGCATGTGTGCACATGAGGCAGGAAAGCTTAAGAGCGAGCGAGTGACCGTGGCAATGTCTTTTATAATATTTGACATGATGGAGATAGAGAGAGAGAGAGAGAGAACCCTACCAATGTTAAAGGAAGTCACATGGAATTTCTTTTTAATTAATAATTTTCTTACTATTCAATTTCATAATTATTCATTGAAGAATTTCGCAAAAGCCCCTTTTTCTCTGATAGATCATATTTGGTCCATCTCTCTCCAAATTATCCTACGACAACAAATTTTTCAAGTTTTTGTTTTCTTTTGTTTTTTCTTTGTTATATAGAGTTCATTAATTTTAGTTGGCACGTAAGTTAGCATTATATGACTTATGGCAGATCATTAATACTTTGTGATCATAACTCATAAGCGATAATATTTTTTATTTCATTTCTTAATTATCCCTTGGATGATTTCGCAAAAAGCTCTTTTTCTTTGACATATATAGTCCATTGCTTTGATATGATATGGTCCATCTCTCTCATCTATCATTTATGATTTATGCCTTCCATCGTTTTCCTATGATAATATTTTTTCAATTTTTATTTTGTTTTTAGGGTAATGTGTAAAGAATTAGCATTATATGACTTATGGCAGATCGTATTGCTTTGTTTTTTTTTTTCTATCTTTTATCAACGTTTTATAAACAATTTGAGAACTTTATTACAAAAACAGATTTATAAATTAATGACGATGGCTAGTATGTCAAATTATCAGATGGAAAATAGAATTAAGGCTATAGCTAGGTTGAAAACACTTTGGAGATACAAAATTTAAGTTGAATAAATACAAATTGTTAAAAGAATAACTTTTGTAGATTTGTTCTAGTTGTAATATTTACAGCGGAATCTTATTGAAAACTTAGAAATTTGATACTATATACTAACAGATTTATACATATATGAAACTAAATGCAATTTAATTTTGTTCAATATAATCTAATTTTCCAGAAGAAAAATTCAAAAAATAATTCTACAGGAGGGGACAAAGTTGGATAACCATCAACTTCCGGAAAACGAGATGTCGAATTTGAGTTACAAAACTTGGATTCCAGTGGACAATAATGAGGCCTGTGCTCTGACCGCTTTAGATTCTAATCTTATGTTTACATCGACCAGTTTTTACTACTATTGATAAGTCTGATCTTGTCGCCATTAAAGAAAAGAAAAGAAAAACCAAACTTGTCTTTTCTTCCTCCACAAACTGTAATATCATGCGACGGTAATTTACTGTATATTTCTTACACATTTGTTTCAATTTCCTCATAAATTAAAACAACATTGATGTTGGTTTTACATATTGTAACATATAATGTATTAGCCC